TCCATCTCCTGCTCCATCTCCTCCCCATCCACCCCTGCAGCAGGAGGTGCTGAAGAAGCATTTGAGCTCTCCCAAGGCCCTGCAGTCCTTGTCCCCAGCAGGGAATGCTGTGCTGAGTGCCAGGAGTGCTCTGACCCTGCCATCCCAGTGCAGAAGCCATTGGAGGAGATGGTGTGCAGCAGTAAATTGTAGCTACTCCAGTTCCATCATYGTTCAACAGAAGGATTTGGCTCCCTTCTGAAAAATGAGGGATTTACTTGATTCCCAAGTATTTGGGAGTATGGTACACAGTGACATTTTGCTGCTCAGGGGGAGCGAAAGGGACCTTCATATTACTGTATTTAGACCTGCTGCTGAATGTGATGATTTCTCATGCCTTAAATGGACGAATATCTTCCCCAGGAGAGAGAGAGAGAGAGAGTGTGTGTCTGTGTGTGTGTCTGTGTGTGTGTGTGTGTGTGTCTCAGTCTCTCTCTCTCCACTGTTTAACGTTCACAAAGAACGTCACGTTTAGCTAAAACAGGGCAAATTTGAAAGTGTTTAAAAGGAAAGACTTTTCTGAAAAGATGGTACTTTTCATTTCTCCAGGCCAAGAATCCTTGTGGAAAGGAAACACAACAATGCAGGGATGTGATGAAAAAGTATTGTCCTGCCTGTGTACATTTTATATACATAGAAGGTTTTGAAAATAGAAAGTGCCTGGACAACAGCAGTTGGTGAAATGTGGAAAATATGTTGCTGAGGTATGTGCCTTGCACAGTGACACAAGGTTTACAGTRCAAACATCCCTGCGGGTTCATTTTYCCCCCTTTTCCTCCATGTTGCCATTGTTGGATTTCTGGTGCAGGGTAAAAGGCAGTTTTCTTTAACTGCTTGTTCCTGTCCTGTTTTTCCTTCTAACTGCCATTGACGGTTCCCTGGATATTACACCAGTGCTAAAGTTTTCCTTTCTCCACCTGATGAATTTCAGAAAATTCCTTCAAGGCCATTGTTGCTCCAAACATGCAGCTCTGTGCCTCTGGCTGTTGATGGCGTGTTCGTGGATTTTGTTGAAGAGATCCCACCAAGCAGCAGAGAATTTGGAAAAAGCCAGACCTTCTAACCAGCAGGTAGTGTCATGGATCACAARTTTTATTCCTGTCTTGTGTTCCTTCTCTTTCCAGCACAGCAACAGTTGTAGGAAGAGGATTTTGGTCCTTGTAGACTGACTACTAACTTGTCTTTTTTTTTTTTTATATTTATTTATTTAATTTTTTTTGCTAGAAACAAACTTTTATTGTCAGTGTCCTGCTCTGGCACCACTCAGCTTGTTCGTGGTGCTGACCCTGCACACCAGAAACCAATGATGAGCTTGAGCYGTGAATTTTCCAACCCTCTCGTACCATTGAATGCTGTGCAAGTGCAAAGCAAAAGAAGGGTTTGACCTCCAGGGATTGGAAACATAAAGGGGTCGGTGAAACAGGGGAAATGATTTACCTGAGGGTACAGGAGAGAGGTTCCAGCTTTCTTCATTTYCCCTTTTATTGTCTTATCCCCAAACTATGCTGCTTCCTCAGGAGTTTGCCTTTGGCTCCTTTGCAGCTGTGGCCCCGTATTCTGGTGAAAGGGCGACTCTTACCACTACTGATGCTCTYAAAAAAGAAATTAAAAAATGGAAATGTGCTTAGGGCGAGTTCTGGGGTGTCAGGGAAGAGGGGAGATGGAGATCAGGGCCCGACTCCTCCACTTGCTGTGCAGTAAAAGCTGCACACTTTYAGATTGAGGGGCTGGCACGTCTGTCCCAGATCAGGGAAAAAAAACAATCCCATCCCCAAAAGGGAGCAAGCATTAACCTAATAAAGCCACCAGCTGGACGAAGGGAAAACCAGCTCTTTGGAAAAAAAAATCAAACCAAAAACCAACAAACCAACCTCCTTTCTTTAGAAAAATAATATATTTCATCCAAATAAGGTAAAAATATTTGAAATGGGGCAGAAGTGAACACTAGGCAGCATCTGTCAGGCCCTTTCCGAAAAGGGGAAGATTTTTAAAACTCATTTACAATTTATTTCTGCAAAGCGTCTTTCAGGCTAAAAATCTCCTCAAACGCTTTGCAAAGAGTGCTGAGGGATTACTTAGAGCATGGAGCATCCTAGAACACYGTGCAAGAAAGAAGTGCAGGCAGAAGCTGCTGATCTGTAGAACAGTGGGGAAATGGGCAGTGTGGGTGCCCTGGTGCTGAGCAGGATGAGCAGGGGCTGCAGCCCGGGGGATTCTCTGCACTGAGGGTTTTTTTGGGGCTGGCACAGCAGGGACATTGCCAGGCCAGAGCCAGAGCCCTCCTGAGCTGTGGGCACAAGAGGTGCCGTGCAGGGCAGTGCAGGTGCTGCTCTTTCCGAGGGCTCTGCCCACCCAGA